TCGATGCTGAGTTTTTATTTTGGTTATTGTTTTTCATACCACTTCATACAGCAGCGACTTGTAACAGAGAGAAGAATTGGCATTGGGAGGAAATCTATTTATGCACTGGGTGTGGGGGGGGGTTGGGGGGAAAAATTTTGTTTTCTGGATTTTTGGGGGGTTGTTTTTTGTTTTGTTTTTTTGGCTAGCGTTAGAGAAATAAAAGTATCTCTGAAACGACGTGGTGTTGGTGTTGTTTGTGCAGAGGTCGGATTGAAGAGGAGTGGGACAGAAAAACCCTGTGCAGCCCAATGCTCAGCCCGTGTGTGCTCTCCTCTCATCCTCATTTGGGGTTCCTTTTCCCGCTGAGGTCTCTTTTCCCAGCAGGGATTATTTTGGATGCAGCTGCAACTGGAACAAAAAAAAATATCACATTGATACCTAGCAAACGTGCCCAAAAAACCTCAATGGATTAAAGCATCCCCTTTGCAAACAGAGCTGTGGGGTGAGCCAAGGTTTGCATGCGCCCCATAGGGAGATCCCCCCCCTCTCCCCTCTCACCCTGAGCAGCTCCAGGGCCGTTAATGATTTGCAGGATGACGTGGGGACTAAAGGGCTTTCCAAGGGTCACTGCCAGGGAGCGCCCGACACGAGGAGCAGTGGGGCAAAATGGTGACTCTGAGCGACTTCCAAAGTGAGTGGGCACCAGGGTGGGATGTGCTGGGGGTGCTGACCCTACAGTGGGGCTGGGGGCACAGGGGAAGGGAGAAGGGGTGATGGCAAACTGCATGGTGTTGGGGTAAACGGGTTGGATGTGATTCATAGGGGGATTGGCACAGTGGGGTGGGGGCTGTGTGAGGAAGGCAAGCAGGGAGGTGCCCAACCCCTTGCCTCCACCATAGCATCTGATCCACCCTTCGTGCAACCACCTGGGATAGTGTTGGGGATGACCTTCCTGGTTAGTTTGTGATTGATTCTACACCTCGCAGCCACCCTGAATTCATTGGTTTTACAGCCTCCCCAGGACTTCAGCGGGGGGAGAGAAATCATAGGGACGTTTCTGGGAGGGAATGGGACGGGGTGGCCCTGAGCAAAGCAAGCACTGCCTGGGGGGGAGCAGAGCAGTGCACCCAAACCCTCATTTCAGCCCATCCTCTGCAGGGATTGGTGTGGGGCTGGTCGGCTTCGGCATCTTCTTCATCCTCTTTGGGATGCTCCTATACTTCGATTCGGTGCTCCTGGCTTTTGGCAACGTGAGTATGGCACAGCAGGGGGGATCTCTGGAGCAAAGGGGCCATAGGGCAGGGCTGCTCTCACCCCTCCTTGCTGCCTCGTCCCAGATTCTCTTTCTCTCCGGTTTGGTCTTCATCATCGGCTTCAGGAGGACCTTCACCTTCTTCTTCCAAAGGCAAAAGATGAAGGGCAGCAGCTTCTTCCTTGGGGGGCTCCTCATCGTCCTCATGCGGTGGCCGCTCCTGGGGATGCTGCTGGAAGCTTACGGCTTCATCACACTCTTCAGGTCTGCGTGGACCCAATCCGTGCCACCAGCATCTACCATGGCAGGCTTAACAGAGCCTTTTGTTTCGGTGCAGGAGTTTTTTCCCCGTGGCTTTTGGCTTTTTGGGCTTGCTGGTGAATATCCCTGTTCTGAACAAGGTGAGCAGGGCGCTGGGCAAGGCGTCACCTCTGGATGCGGACCTTGGGGGATGCAGTCCTTGGGGGATAGAAACTGCTGGCATTGCTGTATTGAAGCAGCATTGTGGGCATGCAGGAGGAGGTCGGCACGGTCTCCCTGCTGCTCCTGGAGTGTTGTGCTGCTAATCAGGAACGGTTCATCTTACAGCTCTTGGAGAAACTGGGTGACAGCAGCTCCATAGTGTGACCACGGGATGGATGATGTCACAGGTGGGACAGCACGAGTGGTCCTTCAATCCTGCTGGGGGTTGGAGATGGTTGTGCTGCAGGGATGGTGCCTTGCAGGCTGTGCCAGGCAGGCTTTGTAATTATTATTATTGTTGTTGTTGTTGTTGTTGTTGTTGTTGTTGTCTTTCCCTCATGAGAGCTGGATTTAATTTAAAAAAGTGTGTCTGAGACTGTACTGAGGCTGTGATCTTTTTCTGGGGCTTGGAGCCTACTCTTAATGCCACTAAGAAGCATCATGGCCATGGCTGGAGGTGACATGGAGACCTTCCCATGGCCACGACTGGAGGTGACATGAAGACCTTCCCATGGCCATGACTGGAGGTGACATGGAGACCTTCCCATGGCCATGACTGGAGGTGACATGGAGACATTCTCATGGCCATGGCTGGAGGTGACATGGAGATCTTCCCATGGCCACGACTGGAGGTGACATGGAGACCTTCCCATGGCCATGGCTGGAGGTGACATGGAGATCTTCCCATGGCCATGAATGGAGGTGACATGGGGGCAACCCCAGTGGCTGCAGCTGCCTTCCCACGCACCCAGCAGGACCGTGGGCTGTGGCAAGCAGAGCCCAGGGAGCAGAGGGAGAGGGCAGGAGAGGTTAGGAAAACACCCATTAAACCATAATAACATTTCATGACCTGATCGGAGGAGAGTAAATTACCCCTCTGAAATCCAGTCACCATGAAAAAGCAAATGACATCCAAGGTTATGAATGAATTGAGATATTGGGGTGGAAGAGGGAGGTTGAAGCACTTGTAGGGCAGCACGTGGACATGGAGCTGCTATCTGAGCACTCACATTTCCCACAGCCCCATTTCCCATGGGATGCAACCAGCTGGGAGCAGGGCTGGGTGTACTGATGGCAGCACAGTGGGGCTGGTGTGGGGCCAGTTCTGTGAGCAGGGGACAGGAACTGCACTGCTGGGGTGAAGAACAGCCTCTCTCCAGGAGAGAACAGGTTGAGTAACACCACAGCTCTGCAGTCAGAGGAACGAGCTCAATGGATACGAGCTGGGATTCTACGAGCACTTGGGAAGCAGGGTGCAAGCAATGAGTTTAATTAAAGCAGGGCAATCACATCAAAGCTGGTCCCTGCACAGATACCTTTCTTAAATGGCAGGAATTAATTAATGAGTTTGAATTAAACATGTTCCCTCCTGATTGGAGCGCAGCCTGAGCGTATCTGAGGTGCTGGCAGGGTCTGCAGCAGGTGAGAGCAGATTTGAAAACAGCTCAGCTGATGTGGAGTGGTGTCTCCTCTGCCACACCTGGGGTCCCAGAGCTCCCCAGCAGGAATAAAGCACGGTAGCCCCCTGAGCTTGGGGTTCTTCTGCTGTATGTGGGGCTGTGCTTATGGGATGCTGCTGTCTGGAGGGGGGGGGGTGTCTGTAGTGTGAGCACAGGTTGCTAGATCTTCTCCCCTTGAAGCTTCCTCTGTGGTTTCCTGGTGCCTTGGAGGATGGCAGAAGTGGGGCTGGTCCTGCTTTAAGTCCAGCCTTAGTGGCAAAGCACTGAGGATTGGAGCTGGACAGTTGCTTGGTGAGCCCAGCTGGGCTTGGCCACTGTGCAGGTGAGTGGGACCCACAGCATCCCTGGTGTGTGGCTGTGATGCTGTGTCTGCTTGCAGGTAAAAAGCCTCATTTGGGCTATAAAGCAACTTCTTATGGCCAACTTGCACCTTTTGGGATGTTCATAAAAAGTTTTTCAGTGTTTTTCCCTCCAGTTCAATAGGATGCTATTTCAATGCGTCCTGCTGCAGCAGTGCTGGTATTAAGAAATCATTTTAGGTGAAGCCCTGACACTGCTGAAGTCAATGGCCCAGTTCCCTCAGTGCTGGTGCAACCCAGACCCTCCACAGTTCTTCCCAAAAGCTGCTTTGGTGCTCGAGCTTTTCAGTCATTCCTTGCAGGGAAGCTTTTGTTTCCCTTTGGAAAGCATTTTCCTTCACTTTTAGCTTAGTGATTTGGTTCCTTGAAAGCAGGCAGGAAACCACTGAGGAGTGGCTTTTATTCCCTTTTATTTCCAGATATGTTTAATTTCCATCTCTGTAGGATGAGGAACAGTGTGGAGCAGCTGGTCCAACACAGCAGCAAGCGAATCAAATGGGGGGAATTTCAGCCTGACATCCTCCCATCCTGAGCCTGCAATCTCAGGTTGGGTTGATGTGGGGAGCAAAGCTCCTCTGTGCTGTAAGGCTGCATGGGAAGAGCTCAGCATCAGCAGCTCTGCTCTCCCAGGGGGTGAGGGATAACATCACTGAGTCTCAAAGCAGCTGATGTCACTGGGTTTGTTCCCCCTGTGCTGCCCTCCAGTAGGCTTAGCAGTGCTGCTTTTCCTGCAGCTCTGTGCACAAAATGCACCCTTTGCTGGTTGGCTGAAGCCCTGTGCCAGGTCTTTCTCTCACTGCTCCCGTGCACCAGCTGCTTGTCCTACTGGTGGTGGAAAATGCCTCGTGGGGTTTTTCCTTGTGTGGAGGGAGGTTCTGTGCACTGAGGAACATCCTTGGGGTCCTGTGGATGTGCTCCTCCTGGTTACAGCAGAGATGGAAACCTTGGAGCCCCATGCCCTGTGTTCACCTTCTTCTGGCTGATGTGGCCCCTTTAGAAGCGATGCTGTACCCCGAAGTCCCTCCTCTGGGGACTTGTGAGCACTCAGGATGCCCGGAAAGGGGATTTATGCTTGGTGGCTCCTTGCCAGGGGTTGGGTTGCTGCCTCCTGACCCCACAAGGCTGCCCCTGGTGACGCAGCCCTGGGGCCTGGCATGGGAAAAGACGTCAAGGCTGGGAGAAATGAGGCCGTGGCAGATGAGGTGCCTACTGAGTTCAGCCCTCTCCTGGCTCCAAACACTGTGACCCAAAGCCCCGGGGAGTTTGGGGTGGAGGAGGCTGTGAATCCCCAGGTTTGGAGGTGAGGTGGTGGGGAGACCCTCCTTGTGCCACCCCAGCTTTTGTGTCCCCAGGTGAGGGTGCCAGCAGTGCCCTGAGCAAATCCTGGCAGCAACAGGAGCACACCAGTGTGTTTGTGTAGCTGAGGGCTTCAAGGAAGGGGTAAGTGTGTCATCAGGTTTTTTTCTGAGAATATTTTTATTGCTGCTGCAGTCATTTCCCACCAAGGTTCCCTGGGTCCTGAGGTCAAATGCTGGGCTTGGAGCCACGGGGCTCAACCCAGCAGCCATCCCCCATGCACCAGGGCTGGGTGCTGAGCAGGGAACTGCAGCAACGAGAGCTGGGAGCCAGCAGCACAACTTGTGTGAAGGAGTCCTTTGCTTTGCAGTTCTTGAGCAGCTCAGTTTGCTGTCTGCATCACCTGTGCATCCCCATCCTGTGCTTCTTGGGCATCGTGAGCTGTGCTCCTGCACACTCTGCAGTGATCACATTGTGCCTGGCCAAGCTGCGGCTGCTCATACAACTGCAATGAGTTCAGCTGTTCTGTGCACGAGTCTCTGCTCCCTCACTGGGGTGAGAAAATGAGGGGGAGATTTTCCCCCGTGCTCAGAGCAACCCGCATGAGGGCAGCAGGATTTGGTAGGTTTATGGCCAAGGATCTGTGGTTGCCATTCCCACCCTCAATCCTATAGGAAATCCCCATTCCTCTTCCCCTCTTTCTCTGCTCCTTAGCAGCATAGCCGGACCAGACCTGAGCCACCACCCTGTGTGTCCCCACCACTGTCCATCTCTCCTGCCTGATGGCAGCAGGCATTTGGCCCATGCCCTGCATGCAGTGAGCTGTTGGTGCTCAGGGCTGACACAGCAATGCTATCATCTGCAGAGAACAGAGGTTATCAGCTCCCAGCTATCCACAGCTGCCCTTGCTAGCCCTGATAAGGGGCTGTGCCCACCTACAATCATGCTGCCCTCCATCATGGGCAGCCTAACACTCCCTCAGCCAACTGGGAGGAGAAACCCACAGGGAGGCAGAAACCCAGCCTATAAAGCATCCTCTCCTTTGGGATGTGGAGAAGTCTCTGGTGAAGGAGGAGGCCACGCTGGGAGCACGAGATGCTGGCAGGAGGCAGCAGGAGGGTGCAGCAGTGTCTGCTCATCGTGACCATTGCATGGAGTGCTGGCTTCTTCCACTCACCAGCCCTGGCTTTACAAAGGTAGAGTTGCTGCTAAAGGAGCACAGCATGCTGGGTTTTACCATCTCCTTGCTTGTTTGTTTGTTTTTTGGTGTTGAGGACCACAGAGCTCTCTTTTCTGCTCCTCCAGGCTGCTGAGAAACACCTTTCCTCCTCCTCCTCCTCCTCCTCCTCTCTCTGGCACTAAGCACACCTCACCCTCCTTGCTTCTCTTCCCCTCTCCCTCTGAGCACTGCAGCACTTCTCCCTCCATTCCAACCTCCGAAGCCAGCACGACGCCTTCCACTTGCAAAACCAACGAGCCGAACCTCAGCACACCATAAACCCCCCGGTGTGTGTGGGGTACCCTTACAGCACGGTGTCCCATCCCCGGATCCGCGCATCCCTCTGCGGGGCCGGGACCCAGCGGGCAGCTGCTGCCACCTAGAGCTCGGATCTTCCAGGGCAGGGAGATGTGGTCTCCTGGGGGTGTCCCACAGCCCCCTCCTCTGCCCGCAGGATCGCTCTGCGGAGGATGCCTTCCATCCGACAGACGCTGCAGGAGATGGGCGTGAAGGTGTCGGACGTGTTCCCCGAGCTGCGGCAAAGGCGCGGCGGGGCGGGCGGCCCCCAGAACGGAACGGCTCCCACCATCCTCACCAACTACCTGGATGTGAGCTCCTCCCCACGCACGGAGTATTTGTTACCCCCCTCCATCCTCCCCACCTCGCGGGTTCTGTCAGCCGCAGGAGGACCCACCCCGAGTCATTCTGCTGGTGCTTCTTCCAGACGCAGTATTACGGTGAGATCAGCATCGGCACCCCGCCGCAGACCTTCAAGGTGGTCTTTGACACGGGCTCAGCCAACCTGTGGGTGCCGTCCTGCAAGTGCTCCCC